CCCCAAAACCCCAAAACCCCAAAACCCCTCAAAGCTCAAGTAATACTATTTTAGAGTAGAATTTATTATTCAATAATAGAAATATATACACAATGGGAAACAAAAAGCAGAAAAATAAGGCAAGGCTTGATAAGTTCTATTTCATGGCCAAGGAACATGGTTTCAGATCAAGAGCCGCCTTCAAGCTTATCCAGCTTAATAAGAAATATGATTTCCTCAGCACTGCTAAGTGCCTAGTGGATCTTTGCGCTGCCCCAGGTGGTTGGTAAGTCACTTCACACAATACATATTAAGCTCATTTTTATATTTAGGCTTCAAGTTGCTGCCAAGTACATGCCAGTTGCTAGTATTAAAATTGGAGTTGATCTTGCACCAATCAAACCTATAAAGGGAGTAGTTACATTTTAAGAAGATATCACTACTGCAAGATGTATTCAATTGGTAAAATCATAGAAAATTTATTTTCACTATAGATCAGGAAAGAGCTTAAGCATTTCAAGGCTGATATCGTGCTAAACGATGGTGCTCCAAATGTCGGAGCTGATTGGGCTAAGGATGCCTACAATCAAGCAGAGCTCTGTCTATTTGCCCTCAAAGTTGCCACTGATGTCCTTAGAAAGGGTGGTACTTTCGTTACTAAGGTTTTCAGATCTAAGGATTACAACTCTCTGCTTTACGTCTTCAATCAATTATTTAATAAAGTTGAGGCCACAAAACCACAAGCCTCCAGAACTCAATCTGCTGAGATCTTCGTTGTCTGCTAAGGTTATAAAGCACCAGATGTTATTGATCCTAAGTTCTTAGACCCTAAATTTGCACTTGAAGAAGTAGAGGATGAAATGGATGCCTCTAAGCAAATCACATCTTTGAAGAAACTACTTGAAAATAAAGTAAACAGAGGAGGTTATACTGAAAACAGTGGGAATATGGGAACTTTATATTAGGAGACAGACTTCATTGAATTTCTTGAGTCCTAAGATCCTTATGTTTTCCTTTCAGCCTATAATAAAGTAAGTTATTCGTAATGATTTTGACATCACAATAGTTCAAAATCGATGATAAAACTAAAGACATCTTCAAGACATAACCCCCTCCTGATGAAATTTTCATTATATGTGATGACCTTAAGGTATGCGGTAGACGTGAACTTTTCTCCATACTGAAGTATAGAAATAAGTATCAAAATACTATGGAGTAGCAAAGAAAGAAAGCTAAGTCAATTATGGACAAATAGAATAAAGAGTTGAATAAAAAGGAGCCAACTGAGGCAGAGCTTGAGGCAATAGCAGATAAAGAATTAGAAGAGACTATAAAGAGAGTGGAGAAGGAACGCAAGAGGTAAGATAAGAGAGAAAAGATAAAGAAGGCAAAGTCAGAGTTCAGATAGAAGATGAGTGTTATCGCCAGTACGGATATCTATAACATGAATGATGAGGTGCTTTTCGATAGAAGGACATTAGAGAAACTGCACGATGTTGACATTGAAGAATTAGAATTTGATGAGTCTGAAGAGGAAGAGGATGAAAATTATGCTAATGGAGATATTGTGATTAGTAAAAATGCTAGAGAAAGGGAAGCAAAAAAGAATAAAAAGGCTGCTGAAGATGAAGGTGAGGATGATGATAGTGATATTGATGATAATACCAAGAGAATCAACAAGATGGCTGAAGACATCGATGCATTCTATTCTTCCAAGAAGGAGTACTAGGGTGAAAGAGATAGAAAAGCAGACAAAAAAGATAAGAAGAAGAAAGCTTTAATAGAACAGTAGAGACTTAAGAAAGATGAAGTCAAGTAGGAGAAGTAGCTTAACAATGAAGACTTGATTGATGAAGAGGGTAATAGAAAGGTCAAGTTTGCTAAGGACATTGTAGACAGAAGTGATAGCGAAGTAGAAGCTAGTGATGATGAGGATGATGCAGGGTTCTTTATGAATCCTCTTCTGATGAAGAAGCAGGCAGATAGCAAGAAAAAGCACTAGGACAGTGATGTCGAGTGGTCTGATGAAGACGAGAGTGACAGTGGCAAGAAAGGCAAGGGGAAAAAGAAGGAGAAGGAAAAGGACTTGAAGTTGGGAAAGAGAAAGAACAGAGAGCAAGAAGACAACGATTTCTTTACAAATAAGGAGATTGAAGTAGTGCCACAGGAGAAGTTTGAGCAAGAGTCAGATATGGACAGCGATGACATGGCTGAGACTAGAGCACTTGCGAAGGTCATGTTAAGAAAGAAGGCAAGAACCGAAATTCTTGATGCTACTTACAACAGATACGCCACTTTCGATGATGAGGGAGAGCTACCTGATTGGTTTGTTCAAGACGAAAGAAGAAATTTCAGACCGAATATTCCTATAACTAAGGAGCAAGTAATGGAGGAGAAGAGAATACTGAAGGAATATAATGAGAGACCTTCAAAGAAAGTCACAGAAGCTAAGGCCAGAAAGAAGAAGAGACTCGCAAAGGCCATGAATAAGATTAAGCAGAAGGCTCAGGTTATTGCAGAGCAAGATATTAATGAAGGCAGTAAGATGAGGCAGATTCAGAAACTCTACAGAAAGGAAAAGACTAAGATGAAGGAAGACAAGAAGTACGTGGTCAGCAAGAGTTTCAGTCACGTTGGTAAAGCCAAGGTGCCTCGTCACATGAAGGTTGTCGATAAGAGAATGAAGAAGGACCTCAAGATGCAAAAGATCAGAGAGAAGCAAGCCAAGCACAGAGGGAAAGGTGGCAAGAAGAAGTGAGAAATCCTCTTTGCCTACTGAGATAAATCTAATTAACCTATTTATGTTGTTTTAATTAATAGTATTACCTATTCATCCACATCAAATGCCACTCGGGGTTTTGGGGTTTTGGGGTTTTGGGGTTTTGGGG